ATTTATAACACTTTAGCCATAATATTGAATGATACGCAAGTATCACTAAAACGATTCTATGTCATATTCTGTATTCGTTTATACGTTTTAAAGTGGCAAAAATACATAAACTAAAAGCCAGAAATTTTCAAATAATTGGATGAACAACAGACCATTTTAGAAAAATGTTTGACCTTTTGGGCAGTTTTTATAGTAGTGACCTAAATTGTCTTACTTCCACTTCAAAGTATTCCACTACTTTTAATATTTTTGCTCTGATTTCTTTTCCTTAAAAATATCTTTATCCTCCTTATTTAACATTCTTACAAGCCATGTAACAATCCCAATAAATGTATCATCCATTTCAAGAGGTCGAGATCAATGAATTGAGCAACTCAGATCAACCTCAATAAATGGTCATAATGATAATCAATTTAAACTATTATAAAGTGAACAACCCAGACAGATCGGATCAGGTAGAAGCATAGCCCACTCATTTCAAAAGAATGGCACACTATAAACAGATAAACATTCTAAAATGAATTTGATAACTAAAACTGTGGTGTCATAAAGATAAGGGCATCAAGATAAAAAAAATCAATATAACGTAAACAGGTCAATTGCTTATTTTCCCATTAATCTTTGTTCCCCTTCCCTCCGATTTCACTTCATATATTAAAAGTAGACCCAAATTGCTAATGTAATTGTACAAAGTTTCCCGGGAAACATGCTCCCGAACCGTTCTGTAGATGCATTTCTGATAAGCATTGTCACTTATGTCATTATGATGTGGAATGAAACAATGAATTACTTGTTACGAAAATTAAGAAACTAATCAATATCGAACAATTGGATCAAAACATCAAGTTATATGATAGTACTGGAACTGGAACTTCTAAGCATATTATTTTAATATATCCTTCGAAAGTAAGTTTACGCTCTGTATCACTATCATGTATGAACTTTGATGAATTTCTGAGTAGTGAATTTAAAACTTCTTACTGACTTAGTATATTATATACTATTATCTCATGGGTTAAATATATATGTTAATATTAGTTTATGACTAATTTAAACTCTGCCAATAATACGATTAATTAAACAACTTACATTCCGGAGTGTCGCACTGTTTAAAAAAAGACGACAACCAGCCGGAGTCGCTGCAACATCCAACATTCGTAGTTAAAGACGACATGATGATACTTCCACTACAAACAAATGACTTAAGTTAAGAACTCTAATATTTTCTCGAGTCCAATTCTACAAAAATGCCCAAAAAGGTTGCACTAAATAACTTGAGCTACCTCCATTTTTTTCTTCTAATTCAATCATCTAAGAATGATTTTACAGATAATAGTCACATTTAATTCCACATCACAGCCTGATTTTATCCGCAATGTTTAATTTTTAAAACAACAGAACTTACTTTCTGTTTAACTCAGCAACATCTGATTGGAATTTTAAGTTATCCAGTTACTTTAAAATGACTAGATAGACTTCATAGAGAAACAATAAAGTTTAAGGATGTTTTATTCAATAAAAAAACGGTGTAAACATTACCAAAATTAGAAGCCACTTCACAGTATTTCCTGATAGTGATATTACATCTCTGGAAATGACCTAATGGCAAAGATCAGCGATAATTATGCGGTTTGATAGTTGCCAAAGACAGAAATTTTTTAATGAAGGAAAGCGGCCAAATTCCACACTGCCTTAATGGATTCTATGAGCTAGAATGATGTCACTTTGTATTTCACCCCCCCCCCAAAAAAAAAGAGATATCAAAAAGGTCTTGCTTGATTTTCTAAGCAGCCGAAATAGAAACGTGATATCCAAATCGGATTTAGCTGGACTACTGCATATATACTAGTTAAATGTCGAAGAAAAATCTCCGATATTTCAATCTATACATAAATTTCTAAATAACTATTGCAGACCTAGGGTTGATTTGCATTTTATCCTCAACGATCACAAAAGTTGATTTAAAATTAAGGTGCTTATGTATCTCTTCCACATGTTTCAAAAGGGTTTGGTAGGTTCCAAAAAAGAAGTGTCCAAGAAAATCTGCACAACAATATGGTGACTAAACCGGCGACTCCTAAGGATGTAAGAGTGAAGACAGCTGAAATAAAGTTAAATTAAATATATGTTTTGATTGTTATTACGCGCAAAAGTAAGGTTAAAGAGGTAATTCAAAATACAACGGTGAATGTAACAAAACTATCTTACACCACTGACGACGATTATCATAACTATTCACTCAGCACGAGTAACACTGCTGTTTAGTTCTATATAAGCGATACAATACTACACAAGTGCTACAAAGACTACCACAAACTGACAAAATAACTACAAGCTACCATATTCAGCATACAGCAGCTTCCCCTACATATCACTGCAGTTGACTGGCATATTGATCGAAAACGGGCAGGTCCACTTCACCAAAAGCCGGGGGAAGGTACATATATCTCCCTTTTTCAGCACGCTTCTAAGATGTGATTTAGGAAGTCAACTGTTTATTACTGCAACTTATTTGAGATTTGTAGACATCTCACAAAAATACAATGCTTATCAATGAGTTGAGTTAGCCTTAGATAAATAAAAACAGTTTCAAATAACAGAGGATTAATCATATTTGCGCGAATACCACATTTCGTTAAAAAGTTTTAGTTCAATAGTTTTATAGTTTCTTCATAATAGGGAAAAATGAGTCTCCTTTTAAAGTTCAACCAAATCGTAATTGTGATTATATTGCTACGTTATCTACAAGTTCTTAGTGCAGTCTTTTAATAGCTCATATTGTTACCAGTAAATTACACATTTTTTCTTTTTTTTAAATTCTCAATACACGTTAAAAAACTACCTAAACTTACCCCTCTTCGCTCACGTCGCATTGCAGCAGAATATTTGCTGCTGCGACAAAAACAAAGACTCACAATAGGACGAAAATACTCGTAACTCTTAGAAATGAAGTGCACATAATTTTGGAAAATTGGCATGCTTCACCAACACACTGATCATTCTACCTACGATTTCCTCGAAGCCTTCCTATTTTACGAGATTGTTTTAATGGCACAAGCCACTAAGGCTTCTCAGACTAAAGAAAACTGCTGCATACCAGCCACGGAAGTCCCATCGCTCGCTGCTGGTATGTTTTGAGTTTTGGGCTACCATTCAAAACATAGCTGCAATGTAATTTATTATAGTTTACATACTATCTTAAAGCAGTTTTAGGACACTGTGAAATACATCTAGAGCCTGGACCCTGAGTACAGTGAAACCCCTGATTACAACTTTACACACGTACACCCCCACTACCAGTGGCTCAGGCAGCAAGACAGGGCTTATAACGCTAAAAATCTGTTAAACTCGGTAGAACATTGGTAAGTTTATGAACTTACAACGCTAAAATCCGTGGTTCTATTTCCCGTGATGGACACAGCAGATAGATCAATGTGGTTTTGCTCTTAAACAAACAAACTATTAAAACAATACATACGTAAAAAATAACTATTTAATCACCAGCTGTACTACATATAGCTTGACCATAGCCATGCTTTGGTTTTCTATAAATAAATGGTTTATTCTCTTTCTGCGGTTGTAAATGTTCGTAACATAGTTCTCACAATTATTTATAAGTTGGTTTCCAAAGCCTTATTTAAAGTTCACTATCCTTACAAAGCAGCAAATAAAATCAACATAAAACAAAAACAAAAATGTGGACATTACGTTAGATTGAATTGATGTAAAGCCCCAAAATAAAATATATTTACTATAATACCGTGAGAGTGTGAAATCCACTTTTTACTGCGATAATATATATATATATATGACAGTATGTAAAAAAATATTTGTTGTTCTTTGAATAGTGAAAAAATAAGGGAGAAGTGAACGTTTACTTTGAACACTTACTCAGCAACACAACCATTTTCACAGGCAAAAACAATTTTACAATATATTAATACAAAACAAAATATAGATTGAAAAAATTAAACATAACAAAAGGAATAGCTAGCAATATGCATGTAAAAAAAATAACTCTAAAATACCCTTGAACTTTGATAAAAAAACAATTTTTTTTAACATTTAGACACATAAACAGATTAAAAACAAAATACTTATATCTATTAGATACACATAAAAATAACACTCCAAAAACTAAAATGCAACGGCACCATAAAAATACAGCATGCTACATCTTATAAAAACCCTTTTAACTCTAACTTACAGGGCTCAGGCTTAACTTTTTTCTTTTTTTTTTAAGGAGCCAGCCGGGCCTCCAAACATACATTTTTAGGGGCCAATCCTATAGCTCATTTTAAAATGTAACCTACAGTGGAAGTTATCAGAAAAATCATAGAATTAAATAACAGATGTTACGTGAATTAAAAGGAAACAAAAATATCAACATATCTCAATTCATTTTGTTGTGAACTCGTATTTCATGAAAAAAAAAAACACAAGTCAAATCATTTAATTTTTTCAGACATAAGATCTTTAATTGCTCTCTAAAGCATGGTATAACAGCAACTTTTTGTTCCCCATTAGAGTAGTGCTCTCTAATAATCAAAATAAATAATAAAAGGAAATCTTTGCATCACTGTCAGTGTGATCTATTCTTGTTCCCATATAACCCATTACTATCTAGTTGACATATTTGTCAATAAAATGTCAAACACTTTTGATGGAAAAATCATATAATTTACACTACCACTAACTTTACAGAAATCTGTTGTTATCAGTTTTTTCATATTCTGAAACAGCTGTTAATTAGCCGTTCATGAATTTGAATCTGTAATAAGCAAAATCCTAAAATTAGGAACATATGGAAAACATGCAAATAGCTCTAAAATGTCTTAGGTAGTGTGAATTAAACTTAAATTAGTGTCCTTTCATTATTTATTTATCTAGTATACATCTGTGTCAGTGTCCGATGATGTCTCAACATAAATTTTTTGCATTCTTCCATCGACCCCTTCTTTGTCACCCTCCTGCACCTGCTTCTCAATCTGGACCCTGCAAGCAGTTGGTCTCCTTGTGCGAAGTGATTCTGAGTTCCAAAGATGGATAGATGTTATGGGATCAAAGTAACTTATTGAAGGCAAGTGTAACAAGACCAGAAGCTGATCAGTGATCCTGTCAGCTCCCAGACAAGACCTCAAATTTGTCTTGATTATCTTCGTCTTACTGGATCCTCTCTCTGTCTTAGTAGAGCTAGTTGATACAGACAGCAGTAGGTCAAAGAGGCCACAGGTGTTAGGTAGCTCCTCCTTAACCCCAGGGATGATATCAGCCCATGGCTGGCCTTTCTTGTTACGTCTGGTGAAATTAAGTAATGAAATAGATTAGGAAAATATATCAGAGAGACAAGAATTACATTATCGTTCCTGTTTTTAAATAACTATTTTTTGTTCATTTAAAGTTATTATTTTATATTTTGCAGTGTTTTACTGATAATCGGAATCATGCTGATTATTGTATAATCGGGCAACAATATGAATCGGTAAAATTTGTTAAATTTCTCGGTCGTGGAAAATCGATTGCCGAGAAATTAGAAATACCATCACCCAGACCACATTATTCATAGCCACAATCTTCTGATTTGTAAGTATGCTTACAATCACGACCGTGTGTTTTTTCCTTTTTCTTTCAACGCAAAGCACGAAACATTATTCACCTCAGAATAAAATATTATCAGTTAAAACAATCACTGTCAATTTCTCATTTATTTACATAAGTTGATACGCTGAACGTAAGAAAGGTTAAAAAACAATGCTCCGCACATCACGAAGCACACCCATTTCTTTACGGACTGTACATTAGCAAACGGTCTATAACAGCTACCTATGCCTAAAGCTAATACACGCTGTGTGCTTGCCGGAGATCTAGGCGGACTTTTCCCTGGAAGTTCTCGGGATGACACGCCACGTTGCTCCTGTTAGTACCACACTGTGTATCAGCTCATTTTTTGAGGAGGTCGCCAAAGAGCGCATGACAACAAAGCGATTGGAAATTTGGAATGTGGCATTACTTTTCAATAGTGGGGTTGTCAACTGTTAGAATTGCGCATGTCACTGTCGAAGATATCACTAAGTAGAAAGTGGTAAACAGATATATACAAATATTTACAAAATAACTAACATATTGGATAGTTATGGAACATTACATTTCATCATTTCACTATCCTGTTATTTATGAATCTAATCAAAAACACCTTAGGTGTGACAAAAAGGTGCGGCTAAAAAAAGGGTTGAGCCTCGTTTCGGCATCGGGCTTTAGGTCTTTGTAAACCTAGGAGGGTCAGGTGCATATTTAACCTCTTCCTCTCTCCTTAACTGTTATTTTAATTGAAGCTTGTAATCTTTTATTATTATTATTATTTTATTTACTATTTATCCTTTCCATTTCAGGGCCCTATCCTATGGCAGGAGTAGGTGAAGTTCTAGAATGGCGTGAATTTTATTTTTTTATTTGATTTTAGATGTTTTGTTAATTGATTGCATGGTATTTGGGCTCAATAATATGAGTACGATGTTTGGAGTGACAGGTATAGGGTGTTTTTTTTAGCAATTTCTATTAAAAGTGTGAGACCATCTGTACTGTTGTGGGGGTTTCTCTACTGTTGTATGAAATCTGGGACTGTATTTTTAATTGATTTAAATATGCGATTTGTTTCCGTTTCAAATGTGTTTGTTGGTTGGCTTTCTGCAATTTAATTTTTGTTTTGTTGTACATTTGAACTGTTAGGCTGTTTCTGGATTTGTTTTGTTGGCATTAACGTTTCTTGATTTAGTAGTTTCAGGAGCAAAGGTGAAACTGTTTGATTAACGTTTAATTCCGGATGTTATCTTGTGCATCCACAAACTTTTCTTCGTGTGTAGCATTTCTTTGCTACACACACACTCCTCCAAAATGTTGAAGTATTTAGAAACGACATTTGTATCACGGTACTGTAAGCAGTTGCGAAGAATGGACGACTGATTATATGGTGTGTTTTGCGCATGCTTTTTAATACGTGAGCTCAGAAAACGTATTGTAAAGCTCACGCGAAGTTACACCTTGGACATGTAAAGTTATATATGACGTAAGAGCGATGCGTTATAGGTATCCTGTCTTTATATTTAAAATCATTACTTCAATGAAATAATGGTTTAAAGACAATTCTGAACTTAATATTAGGGTAAATTTTGTTATGCAGCATGAATTTAATTTTTTTCGTTGGAATGATAACCAGTAAATGGTAAAACACAATAAACCATTTCTTTGTTTTCAACTTGTTTACTAATTTTAGGAGTGTGCAAACCTTTTGAATAATTCTTAATAACACTATCAATTAATTGTACAGGAAAACATTTTTTTTTGTAAAACAACCTATATGTTTTGTAATTCTTTA